CCCCAAGTAGAGTCTGAGAAATAATACCCTGGGTACGAGGTTTGGTTGTTATTTCAATATGGCGATTCTGGGGTTCTGTGCTAGATACATAGTTGCCAACTTTAAAAAAAAAACATCCGTGAGATCTCGCTTTGGGGGGCGCACGAGGCGCCACCATGGTTGGCGCCGAGCTGAAAATTTTGAAAATATGGAGTCTCTAGATCGTTGGAAATGGCATTTTCAGAGTCTTTTTGCATAAAATTGTATGAAAATTGCCTTATTCTTAGAAATTATGAAATAAAATAGATTTCCTTCTCATTTCCCTCCTTATATCAATATTTCCTCCCAATTTCCTTCCAAATGCTATTTCCTTCCAAATTTCCTTCCAAAGGCCCAAATTTCCTTTTGGAAGGAAATTTCCTTCCAAATGGAAACGCTGTCTGGTCACAGACCCGACAGAGAATGGTATTGTAGCTTGTTGGTAACACGAGGTCAACTGTCAGACGGTTGAGCAAAGCTAAAAAGTCGGCACGTGAATCCTAAAACACACAGGCTCCTATCATATTTGGCAAAGTGTTTATTATTGAAATGAACTTCATCCTGTCACGAGAAATTCTCGTGCGATTAGCATACTGTGAGCTATGATATTATGCATCGTGTGTTTATTCCTTGTTTGGTGACAAGAGATTGACGTGTGGCAGATAGTCCAGGCCGGCTTGAAAATGTCTAAAAGGTCCAGACACACCGGACGCGATTCGACAACGCGACGAGATTTTTTAGTTTTTGAAAGTTAATAAAACAGCCAATGAGAGAAAAAATTTTCTCTCATTGGCTGTTTTATTAACTTTCAAAAACTAAAAAATCGCGTCGCGTTGTCGAATCGCGTCTGGTGTGTCTGGATCTTAACAGCACTGTTGCCAAGAAATCTTTAACAAAATATCTTCGGAGGAAATTTTCTGACATCTTGTAGAAAATTTTCGTTATCTTATATATTGGAATGCCGAATAATTTACTCATTGTTTACAAAAGCGTTTTGCAAGTAAAGATTAGTCAACATCGCAAACTTCAAAACACGGCGAAGGCAAGCCGAAGTTGTCTTGTAACAACCTTGTCGAAATTATCAGACTTGTTGCAAGGTTGTTCTGACAAGTCCGTTACATGCTTGATCCAACAAGATTGTTACAACCTTGTGTTGACAACCTGGTAACATCCTTGTTATGTCATGGCTGTAACAAACTTGTTGGCACAGTCTTGTAACAAGGCTGGTAATGCCATCAAGCTTGCTACAAGTTGTTAACAGCTTGTTCCAAACTTGTTACAACGAACTGGGAACAAGCAGTGCGAACACAACTTGTTGCCAGATTGTGAACAGACTTGTAACAACTTGTTTGCAGACTTGTTACAAACTGTGCGTTTTTACGCGTGTAGCAAAACGACGATTTTAATACTGGAGAAGGTTGATGTGTTTAATCTCGCAAAGGCGTTTCTGTATATGGTTCCAAGAAGAATGGATTTATCTTAAATTTTCAACTATTAAATCATGGCATGTATGTCATTTTAATCATTCACAGCCAAAAACCGTCGTGGCTATAAGGTATGCCGAAATCCGGTATCCTTTATAGCCACAAACCGCCTAGGCTGCCATTTTGCTTCAGGTCGCTTGGAAAACAAACTTAGTTGCTTTATTTAGTATGAAGTGAGCAGAGTTTTACACTGCAGAGTTTGCACAAGAAAGCGGAAGTATTTGCATTGAAATCGAAACGAGGTGAAATAAGACGACACGGTTGCCTCCTCCAGTTTTCCAAGGTGTGTTTTCCAGACAATTCATTTAGTTCCGAGGAGAAATATCTGGTAAACAAAATCATGTGTTTGATGTACTTCATAATCTTCGAAAGTCTGCAAAATTTCACTCCAAAATGCCCTGAAATCACATTTCAGGGACTCTAGATTTCAAAATTTTCCCTGGAGGCAAGTCCAGGTCGGTCTTGTGTCGAGATGGAAGTTTATCACAATGTGCATCACCTGACATTCTCTGAAATCACCTCACATTCTCTGAAATCAGTCTCTGAAATCATTCTCTGAAATCAGTGAAATCAATGAAGGGCAGTCGCCTTTCCAATTGCTGACTAAGTCTCGATTTAGGGCAAAGACGATTTACTGGAGAAGCTTGATGTGTAAAATCTCGCAAAGGCGTTTCTATATATGGTTCCAAGAAGAATGGATTCAGCTTAGATTTTCAACTATTAAATGGCATGTATGTCATTTTAATCATTCACAGCCAGAAACCGTCGTGGCTAGAAGGTATGCCGAAATCCGGTATCCTTTGTAGCCACAAACCGCCTAGGCTGCAAGGTATGGCGAAATCCGATATTCATAGTAGCCACAAACCGCCGTGGCTATAACGAATACCTAAAATCATGCAATATGCTCATACACATGCCCAGGAGCATATTAGAGGATTTTGGTACATATATTGGCGTGCTCATGAGCATACTAAAATCCAGTATCCCATAAGCACGCTCATTCATTCACGAAAATCATGCAGTATGCTCATAAGCATATTACAGGATTTTGGTATTGATATGGGCGTGCTCATGAGCATACTAAAATCCGGTATCCGATAAGCACGCTCATTTATTCACGAAAATCATGCAGTATCAGGGACCGCGGAGCAGGGGGGCTGGGGGACTTTAGCCCCCCCCCCCCCAATAATTTTTCATACATATCTGATTTTAATATAGCGCGGATAGCACTTTTCTTTGCGTAGTCCAGGAAAATATTAAATGTCTGATTTGCGTGTTTCAAAATTACGGAGGCCACTTCCAACCAGGGAAGATCGATCTAATTTTGAAATTGTCGTTGATGATGCAATAATGTCAAGAGGTTTTAATCGCATTTGACCACTTTATTTAAAATTCGTAGCATATCATAGCATTATCCAAGGTGTCACACTTGGTTTCAAATAACTGTTGAAATTCCATATCACTTAAGAAACACACGTGTTTTGCTTCGGTTCCAAGCGTCGTTCTAACTTACTGTTTGCTTGTGGTTGATTATTCTTTGCCTTTGGAACCTGAATTACCTCCGAATAAAATTCTCACGAAAAGGATACAGG